GCAGGGAGGAGGTGGGGGAAGGGCAGGGGACAGAGAACTGGGGGTGAAAGGAGCAAAGGCCATAAGGCGACTGCAAGGGCGGGGGACGGAGCCGTCTTTGTGGTGCGAATCCCCCTGGAGCTCGATCTCGAGCCAGCTGCAGCCCGAGGGTCAGACAAAGTCTTGAATGTGTCTCTCAGAAAACGGTGGGGCGGGGAGAGCGCGAACGGGGCTGGGGCCAAGGGAAGTCTTCCTAGTTGTGCCATATTGCTGGGGGGTTTTTTCTTTCCTGGATCATGAAACGCAGTTTCACTTTCTGGTTCCCAGGCTCCATATTGCAGGGCTTCGTTTGTTTACTGGTCCTGCCTCAGCAGGCGACTGGAAGTAACTTCTGGTCGTCTCTCCCGCCCCGCACTTTTATGATGCTAGAGGGGAAATGTTTAAATCCGGAGGTAACAGTCTCCATGTCTTTCCAGCAGTCGGCCCTTCCTAGGAGTGTGTGAAACCCAGGACAAATCTGTTTCCTGACTAGTTTTGCTGTGTGCCTGGTTTGCCCATCCACCCCTCACCCTCCATCCACCCACCACACGCCTCCTCACTTACCTGCCCATCATTCACCTCCTCACTAGTCTTCTTGCTGTCCATCAGCACCCTTGTGGTCCACCCGTGCCATCCTCCAGACCACCACTCACCTCCTCTCCATCTATGCACCCTCCTGGCCTCATCCCCCAGCCCGTTTTCCAGTTGCCCACCTATGTCACCTCCCACCTGCCAAGTATCAGGACAAATGGCATGCTGATCATACATCGCTCTGAATGGGGGACAAAGCAAGGGCCCCCCCAAAATGAGAAGTCACCCTGATTTGCCCTACCCCACAGTTCAGGTTTTGTAAAGGGTCACCCATTTTTTAAAAAATTGAATTTTGAGTCTGGCCTATGCAGAGGTGCCCCTGCAAAGAAAAAAAATCCTTCTGGTACAAAATCAGTATACTTAACATGATAATATATTATCTCTACTCCCAAAGAAGTTAGGTTTGAAGAAAGAAAAGTGCACAACAATAGTCTCAGACTTAAATTAGTTTTTTTAATTTTTAAAGATATAAGAAACCAATGTGTTTTCAGAGTTTTGGAGAAATGTTCCTAGGCAAGAAGGTTGAAAGCAGTTCCCTTTTAATTTATCATATTTTCCCAGGAGACTTAGAAAAAAGCAGACACATAATCTGGTATAATCAAACATAGATGTCCCAGTAGGGCAGGGGTGGGGAACCTCAGGCCTGGGGGTCGGATGCTGCCCCCCGTTTGCCTGGAGCCAGCCCCCAAGGCTCAGAGCTGCCCCCAACATTGGGGAGCCCAAACTGGTGTTCCAGTCCCCTTACTGCCCCATTGTGTGGCCGGAGCACACAAAATCTACTTGCCTTCCCCTGACCCCCCTCCCTTCCCGGCTCTGGTGTGGGAGGGAAATGTGGGGAGTGTCTTTTTCCTTCTCAGTGTAGGGCCACTTCAGTGACTTTTTTTTTTGTGCTTCTCATTTGTGGCTCCCGACTGAGTCAGTGGCCCCTAACCCAAAAAAGGTTCCCCTTCCCTGTTGTAGGATTTTATTTGTATTGCAGAAGTGCTCATAGCCCCAAAAGAACTCAGTTGTACAGATAGTAAAAGGGAGTGTCTATTTCAGTGAGTTTAATCTAAATAAGCAAAAGAAAGGAACAAAAATACTATTCTTATTTTACAGGTGAGGATTAAGGTACAGAGAGATTAAGTGATCTGCATTCCAATTTAGTGGCCTACCACCTCGGCCTACTTTCCTAATGGCACAGAAGTAAGTATGCAGATACATTGATCTTTTTCCATTAATGGTCTCCCCTACATTTTCCAATACTTTATTACATTAAATCACATTTCAGAATTTCTCTTCTTGCCTAACTAGTTACAATGAAGCCCAGGAGCACCAAATAAACTCTTTAAAATACACATAGTAAAATCCACAGGGGAAAAAAAAAGTGGCTTAAAATCCTGCCTGTATATGTGCTGATAAAACTAGAAAAGAAAAATAAGACCAATTGCTTAATCAACCGAAGAAAATAAATTGCTTCTTGTAGCTTCAAAACTTTCCTTGATAGGTCATCAGTTGTCTCCTTCTGGATTTAAATTGCCAGGTATGTGAGGAAGTGCATGGTGGGAAATGTGTTTATAAAAAAAAATAAAACCTCCCACCCCCTCAGAATTGGGTGGTTATGGATAGTTACTAAGAGTAAGAATAGTTTTGGTGATTATGATTCAGGTGAATGAGTTACTTGATGTGTGTTAGTCTAGTGTGAAATAACTTAGGTAACTGTGTTTTTGTATATTTTTGTTTATATAATCATTGTTCAGGTGTGTTTTGAAAAAACACACATCCCGTGTTGGAAGTTCAGAACTCCACCCTCAAACTTGTCTATAAGAAAACAGGAAACATACTTATGTGTCTATCTAGAACAGACAAATGAGCATCACAGTTTTTGGGTTACAGTCTCAGTTCTACTATTGTTCCAGTGTGTAACTTCAGGCAGTTTACTTACGGCTCATTCCTACAAATTTAATGGATGCTTACTTCATGGACAGTTCCAATGAAGTCAATAGAAGTCAATGTGTAAAGTAGGGCATTTGTCTAGATGTCCACAAGACTGGGGCCTTGAACTCTCTTATGCTTCATTTCGCCTATCTCTAAACTAGTGATGAGATTTAACTACTTAAGAGGCTTATTGTCTGCTTTACTGGGTACTGGTAAAGAGTTTGAAGAGTAATTGTAAGCATACCTATTGCAATGTTCCAGTCAAAACAGCCTGTCATTGGAGTGATAGGATTTCTTGAAAGGTATGTTTCATAACACATATATAGATACATAGGTGTGGAATTTTTAAACACTGAGATTAAGATATCCTTTTTGAGACCCTAAAATTTGTGGTTAATGACGGGGAGACCACCCAGTATTAAATATACAAAAAAGAGCTGGCATATAAAAAGCTAAAAACCTGTAATATCAAGGAGAGTTCTGGTCTGAAAGCTCTTCTGGAACTGCATCAGCTTTAATTGCCAAAACAGATTGGCCCATTTCCAATCTGACTATGTCCAGAAGTGTCTTGGCAGATTTAAAGTCAAAAAGGTATTTTGTCTTTAAACAAGGCTCTGAGCTTGCTGAGAAAGAGAAAATCGCCTTTTAGTCTTCTGAGATGGTATCTTTCTCTGGGTGTAGGTCCCATATCTTTCCCTGTATTACTAGACTTAAAAATATATGGCAAGGATGATTTGTTATAATCATACAATAACAAACCAATGAACATTTATTCCCCATAATTTCAAGTATCTGTGACATTAGGTGCAAGGCTCTGAGCTTGCTGAGAAAGAGAAAATCGCCTTTTAGTCTTCTGAGATGGTATCTTTCTCTGGGTGTAGGTCCCATATCTTTCCCTGTATTACTAGACTTAAAAATATATGGCAAGGATGATTTGTTATAATCATACAATAACAAACCAATGAACATTTATTCCCCATAATTTCAAGTATCTGTGACATTAGGTGAATATTGCTTCTCCATTCTTATATTCTACTCTCTAGAAGATTAATCTGGCGTTGTTCTGCGGCAGGACTGGGTACGAAGCATTCAGTATGCAGACTGCCCAGGGAGACAGGACAACTCCAGCCCTCTCTCTCTGCAGAAACTTGGAGCTAGGTGGGAAGTGCCTGTCTAAGACTGCTGCAGCTGCAGTGGGCATGGCTGAAGGATGGGTGCATGTTTTCCATCTGGGGGACAGAAAGACACATATACAGACAGACACACAAACTCTCTGAAATATATAGAAGATAGCTGTCCCTTTCTCCGTCCCTGCCGCCCCAATGGTGCTATAGCTGTCCTAGTCCCCATCTCTGGCCTATTGCTGTCCCTCTGTGGTCATTCTGCAGTGTAACTTCCTCCTGAGAAACCCCTTCCTTTCCATTTTATGAGAAACAGTCGAATTCCAGGCACATCCCATTGTCCTGGCACAACCATGCCCTTACCTTGCTTTATGTTACGATAAGAGGAAGCCGCACACCAAATGTGGTGTTCCTAGCTATTACCATTTAGGAAAGGGAGGGAAAAATACAGCCCTCCGGCTGGATCTGGCCTGCTAAGCTTCCAGATCTGGCCTGTGGGAATCTCTGCCAGGCTCTCTGCCTGACTTGCTCCTGCATACTGCTCAGAGCAGCTCTCTGAATGTTGCAAGCCTCAGGGGAAGGGAGAAGAGGCTTCGCACACTTCCCTCACCCCCAGCAAAATCTTGCAGCTCCCATTGACTAGTAACTGGCCAATGAAAGCTGCCTGTTTTCAGAGTAGAAGTGTGCAATGTACCCCTCCCCACTCTGGCTTTGCATAGTTAAGAGCCACACATGACCCCTGCATCAGATGGAAGGCAGGGACTCTGATTGAGGAACCAGATGGGCTGCTGGTCAGAAGCTGGCCAGAAGCTGGCTAGAGCCTACCTCTGGCACACATATCCCTCCCGCCCCTCAACCCTCTGTCGCCCTTTTTCACTCCTACCCCATGTAATCCACTCTCTGAACCCCTGCTTCTGCATCCATACTCCCTCCCAGATCCTGCAACCCCTCCTAAACTCCTCCTCCAGGTCACAACCCCCTCCCAGATGTTGAACCCCTATCTCTGGTCCTAAATCAAATCTCTGCACTCCCTCTTAATCTCCTGCTCCAGATCACAACCCTTTCCAAGAATCTGCACCCTCTCCTGCATCCCAGTCTCCTGCCCAAGTTCACAACCCACTCCTTCACCCATTCTCCCTCCCAGATCACACATCCCCCTCCTGCACACCAATGCCTTACCCCAAGCTCCCTTCTGACCCCCCCCCATCAAAAATATTGCCTATTGTTAATGCCTGGTTTAGGAGGATTTTTTTAACAAATTGACTCACAAACAGATGAATAGACAGACTCACATTTCTAAAATAAAAAATACACACACACATACATACATACATACAAATACAGATTGAACCTCTCTAATTCAGCACTCTCTGATCCAGCAACACCCCTGGTCTGGCATGATTTTAGTTAGCTGGATGTCCATTTATCATGGGTGTGGCCAAGTTTTGCATGGTCCCATACAATTTGTATACAGCTACCAGTCCTGGCTCTTAGTATTCTATTATGTTATTTAGCTCTAATATACACCCAAATGTCTTCTAAGAGCCCATTAAGTAGTGGAAGTGATGGTAATGCTGCTAGACAATATTGACCTCCTATGGTTCAGCAAATTCTCTGGTTCGGCACCAATCAAGAGAATCCTGAGCTTTTAAAAAAGATGCTTTCAGAATTATAGACTACTCCTCAACCAGGGATCCATTTCTAAATCTTGGGCTACATTCTGGGATAGATTAGAACTGGACTGTGCAACCTACTTCAGTATATGGGGGGGAGGGGGAATAGGAAAAGAGGTTGAAGAAGCATAACCTAGTCCTACATGTCTAAATGCATACTTCCAATGCAGCTTTGGAGCGGTTCCTGGTAGAAACTTTCCTAGACTAGTTGCTTAATTATGGCTCACCTCCCAACAAAAATAATGAACAATATGAAGTTATACTGTTAAACCCTCCCTCCCCCCCCAAAAAAAGAAAAGAATGGAGAACACTTCTTTTTTTTAAAGACTAACTGGACAAGTCAGTTCTGTTGTATTTTAAGGGCTGTCAAAATAGTTTCTCTGCTGTTTGCACATAGTGCCATTTTGAAAGTTAAGGTATACACATAACATCTATTTTGCAACACAGCAAATGCCTAATTTTCCCATAATATATAAACAAAAGTAAAACCTAAAACAAAAGTATGCTGTAGTCCCCAAAGAAAAGTAAACATATTACAGGAATCTAGTAATTTTTAACTGTCCATAGTATTCCTTTGTGCTCAAAATATTTGAGACCTTTCTCTGACTGCAAGTTGTAATTGAAATTTGCCACTCATGACTGGAGATTCTAATTTTCATAGTGAAAATAGAAATGTTTAATTCTGTCAATCAGTCCAACCTGAAATGTCTGGAACAACTGAAGCAAATTAGTTATAGCGGAGCCAGATGGAAAGTTTCATTCTAACTATGCTCAAAATGCCAGAAACCACCACAACCTTCTTGCACTAGGGTTCCCAAAGATGGCAAAACCTTTTCAAATGCCAGCTGAAGCAATGGTGGGAATCTTGAAACATGTGCTAGTGTTGCTATGTCCTGGCTACCTAGACTTCAGAAGAAACTTTGTCTGTGAGCTGGTTATTTTGTTGTTCTACATTATGGAATGTCTTGCATTTCCCCTAAATCATCTGGTTTTAACTGATGTAAGAGTCAGAATTCTGAATTAGTTGGACTGTGAGACTGATATGGTATGGCAATTTTTATGTTCCTTTGAAAACATTTTCAAATATGGCTATGGGGCTCACTTGGTTATAGACTGAAGCTGTTTATTACATTCCTCAAAACCCTATAATCTTGGGATGCAAGAATCTTGCACGTTGCACTTTAACATAAGACCTGCATGTTACAGTGCATTGCACATTGCCAGTAAAGCTGTGAAAAACCAGTGTTCAATCAAACAGGATCTGTAAGCCTTTTGTGTAGCGCACAGAAAAGCTGGTTGTTAAAATGAGAATATTCAATGCAGTGTAGAATCACTATGAAATATTTGCTAGTAGGGAACAATTGTATTACACACAATTTTAGTTAGCTACCAGCTTCAGAGTTAGAGGACTTTGCTTTTAGACCAATATAGTATTGGATTTCATACACAATGAAGTGAGCTATATTCTAACTTT